CCACTTTATTCATTATTTAATTATCTAATACTTATATTGCTATAATCAGAATTCTTAGTGTATTTAAATCTGTTTTTAATTTATATGATTTGTAAATGCTAGCCAATGGTTTGAATTTTTTTTATCTAATATATATTTGTTTTCCCCTCGAGAATAATTTTGTTTTTTCTAACAAAATTAAGTAGCTCCTCATACTATTTCACAGTTGTTTTAGCTAATCTTCTCGCCATAATAAATTAAATAAAATGAAAAATGAACTGCAAAAAATTCTAACCTAATTGTTGTTTTTACATTCAGAAAAACAAGAAAATCTCATTTTTAGAAATAAAGTGAAGTTAAGTACATCTTGTGCGTACGCGCATTAACGCAAATAAAAACTTTCTTCCATTCGTAACAGCCTGCTTAACATCTTTTGTTATCGATCCTCTCAATCATACCGATACGACACCTACTGTTATTTCATATGTTATCTATTCCCTGTTAGCATAACAACAGATTCGTGTTAAAATTAACGTAAACGTTCAATCATAGGACCCTGTGCCTTTAAATCGTCCACTGGTGATAATATCTAGTTCGTCCGCATATCGTAGGACAGTATTTTGAGTAAGTCGTCCATTAGAACTGATCACAATATTGGAAATAATATTTCTCCTTATGCGCAGCCTCGTTTTACTTTTGACCACATGATTGCCTTTACTAGAGTGGATATCTTGGCCCTATAGGTTGACTGGCATTGATCCATTGGCATATGGTGCCGTTTTTCTATTCTAGAGCTTTCGTTATTGATCTGGTTGATGCATTATTGAAAGTTCATCTGTTACCTTCGAAAGTGTATGTTTAGATTATCCTGCGCTAGGTCAGCGTATGCATACCAGGTTTTCCTGTCTTGTAGGTATATGCATATGGACACATGGATGGTAATTAGGAACAGTAATGTAATAATGTGAATTGCAAACAAAAATTAGGTTTAAAAATTAATTTTACATTTATTTCAGTGTTATTGAAATACGATAAAATATAAGAAAGTGCAAAACATATTATTCTTAAAAACATTCACCTAAGATATAAATATATAATTTAAAGAAAAACCAAAGAGCTAATACTAAACAAAAACTTAAAGTAGCACGTATAGTTGATGAACCACACTACAAAGTATTGTAACCACCCCCCTACACTAAAAAAGGATAATGAAGAACAATAACTGTTCGTGTACTTCCGATTTTAAGGTCAAAATATTGTGTAGGTACATATTTATTATTTCGCTTTTAAATGAAGCAAACAATATATAAAGCTGCTTTAATTTCATTGAAAACAGGATATTGTTATGGAAACTTTCTCGATACAAAAGTGGAATGAGTGAAACTTCGATGTTCAAAAACTATTTTCAATTTACCATTCTTACTTACGACCTAAAAATAAAATTTACTTTATTATACTTAAAAATATAAAAATACTCATCGGCTTATTTAACTGATTCATACCGTATAAAATTATCTTTGATATTATTACAGAAGACCGAACTGTAATGTCTGGAGAGCATTCGTTTTGAGAATTTCTAAAAATAAATCGAAAATGGTACGAAAATATTTTTTGCAAAACGAGTAGGAGTCACATCTTGAGACTTTGCAATAGTATAAAAGTATTTTTATATATTTATACATGCATGAGATGATCCATTTTGTAGGTATCTGTGGGTAGTTTTATCATTTTATTCAGCGTTTTGACAGGTCTGAGATGTATGAGAACACTCAGAGGAAATTAGATTACGCACCAATTCATTTTAATGTACTTACCGTGATAGGAATATGATGAATTTATAAAAAAATATGTACCTATTTCTGTTTTCGATAATGTAGACAAATATGAGGAAACGTAATATGCCAAAGACACGTATTCAAAACTTAATAAAAATACACGATTTATCTTTTACGACGGTTTTGTCATTTGTAATACAGGGGCAATACAGGTGAATAAAGTCTTTTATAGATAATGGGTCCTATGATTGAACGTTTATGTTATCCATAACGTACATGTTAGGACGAATTTTAACAGTAACGAAGCAAGTTTGTATGATGGAAAACTGTTAAATTAGAACGTAACAGGCGGAAAATAACAGTAATGTGTTGGAAACCGTTTTTCATCATACGAACTTGCCTAATTACTGTTAAAACTGAGCCTAACATGTACGTTACGGATAACGTAAACGTTCAATCATAGGACCCATTATCACAATGTATTAATTTTCTATACTTTTAGTTCATTAAAAATCGATAACCATATACCGTACTTGACTAATAACTGATATTCAGCTTGGTACATATAATTCTGTAAAATCTAGTAGACAAGTTTGTCACATTTTGTTCTTGTTTTTGTACTGTAATTGTAAATTATTGAGCTGTCATATTTTATTAATTCGTGATATTATCTACTGAATACAACTTTTGATAACGGTTCTATGGATAATAACATAAATTAAAGTTGTATTTTCAACAATATAGTACAAAAACTGTTATGTATTGTAAAGTGTGACTCTACACTTCATTGGAAGGTAATTTTTTTATAATTTAATGCGTAGCATAAACTGTTATTTTGATTATTTGACATTAAAGTTTGTAATAGAGCTCTGGAAGGTTTTTCAATTATTTAAGTTCATGTTTCACTCAATTGCTTTGTTATATTGTGTATTCTTTAAAAATAATGTTGGAAAAAGTTAACAAACCCACTGGGATAAAATTTCCTCTAAATCGCGTGATATATTCAACCATACACTAAATTGTTTGAAATTCCTTCTCTCTCGGGAAAGGACAGAATAACCATTCGAAGACTACTGAAGATCCACCGATGTGCCAGAGTTGCATGCTTCCTCTTATCTTTCAGCGCATCATAGACAGCCCAAACTTTGTAAAATGGGCCAATCAATTTTTTTTATTTACCAAACAATAATTTAAAGCAAATTATTTTCTTAAGGTGATTACAGCACCCCCTATAATTTTCGGAGAAGCATATCTCAAAAAACACTTTTTTTAAATAATTAGAATTTTGGCAAAATTAATTAGGCAATAATATCTAGAATATGCATATATTTTAAAGTTTTAATTCCTTCCAGTTTCCAAGAAAAAAAATCAAAGGGCTCTAAATTTTGAAATATCATAATGAAAATAAATGCATTCCTCAACAGCACTATTCTGAATATAATTCCGAAATTTAAGTTTTCAATCTCTTGTTAATGATTTTTTAAAAATCGCCGAAATTAGTGGCTAAAACGCCTCGTTGAAGTACTGTTTTCTGGTGTAACGCGCCTGTAACTATCGTATCGTACACTCTCAGTCATCATTCATTTCTTACAACGATTTACACCAGTTTACACCAGAAGATAGCACTTAACGAGACGTTTTAGTCACTAATTTTGGCGAATTTTAAAAAATCATTAACAAGACATTAAGAGCTTAAATTTGGGGATTATGTTAAGAATAGTGCTGTTGAGGAATGCATTTATTTTCATTTTATTTGCCAATCATGCATTATTAATTTATTACAATTAAGATTTAAACTTAAGGGGATTACCAGGGATTTTAAGTTTTTGAAAAGCAGAGGCGAATGCCCTACGACGTTTTTTCAAATCAAAATATTTAAAAAATTCCATATGGATCCAACTTTATGGAAGACACACCCTGTACCTAAAGCCGATAACAATGGGTACAAGAATTATAATAAATATCCATCCAATGGCGTATTACTATTTAAAATATATTTATAAATACTCAATAATTGTTGTTGATATTGTTTTGTATCTGTGTCAATGATCTTGGCAGTCGAGACACTTGTATTTTAATTAAATAAAAAAAATATTATTAAAATTAGCTTTCAAATAAAGTGTCACACTTTGCAATACGTAACCGTTTTTATTCCAACGGAAGGGCGCTAAAATCAAAAGTGGAGCAATTAATAAATATTGCTGAATTTTCTATAAGATTACCTTTTCTATGATGTGCCGTACCTGATACTTTTCGTATTGGTTAGAGTGACGGAGGGGAGGGGAGAGGAATGACTTATGACAGTTAAGAATATGATACAATTCAACAATTGACGGGTCCGCGTTTTTGTCTAAAATGTTGGCGTAGTTCCTGATAATGATTCGTTTTCGTTTGATCACGCTGTATATGCACTAATGATTTAGTTTTGTTAATGATCAACTTATTCGACACTTTTAAGGGATATGTCAAAACGAAAGTTGTATCATCGGCATCATTTTCTTAGAAATTAATTATTTTGGGATGATTATAGTTAAGTACCGAAATAATAGACAATAATTTAATTCTAAGAAAGTGTGAAGAATCCTGACAGAGATGCCATATATGCCCACCACTCAAAAAATGTTCTTGTCCAGTAACCTCCAAAATTTTCTCCAAACTTTGGCGCAATGATATATGACAGCATTCTTCACACAATAAATTATTGTCTATTATTTCGGTATTCAATTATAGTCTTGTCATGAATTCACCCTCCATAGGGGTCTATTCTGTAACAATTCCTTTATATTTAACGGCCTTTAAAAATATTTTCTTCTTTACTTCTGTCATTATTTAAACGGATCTTTAAAATACATTAAAGAACTATCTTAAAGAAATCTGTTTAAGTAATGACAGAAGTAAATTAACGAATACGAAAATATCTTAAAGGCCGCCAATATTTTTAAAGGCCGTTAAATATAAAGGAATTGTTACAGAATAGACCCCATAATCTGTTATTTTAGAAAATTTCTTTATTTTCTGAAAAAATAAATATTATTGTATTAGTTTTGTCATGAATTCTTCTAAATCTATTTTTTTATCAAAATACATATATCTTAACTTTTAATCTCGGATCAAGATATTTGCTCCACCCTGTATAATAAATATTATGTTTTCAGATATTCTATTTTATTTTTTGTATTTTTTTCAGATTCAATGGCAGGTGAAGCACCCTTACCAATTAAGCATTAACCCGCGCGCATCTTCACGATGTCGGGTGGCCCTGGACCGCCCCCGGGTGGTCGTAGTACCACGCCGGGCGGTTGGTCACCTCTACATTTCCGCCCCAATACGCCCTACGCTCCATCGCCGCCTCCGCGAATGGGCAGCCCGGCTGCCGCAATGTTCGGCAATCGGCTGCCGTACGGGATGCCCTGCCCGAGACCGAGGTGGCCTTCGCCTATGTCGCCGGTACCGGTACCACCACCTCCGCACGCTTTCTCGCCGCCTCCACCTGGACCGCCTCCAGGACCAAAGCCGTTCCGACGACCTATGCATCCAGTAAGTACACTTTCTTTTTTACACGCCTTGCACGTATTAAATACTAACTCCTTATTATGATATTGTAAATTGAATGCTATCATAACAGAAAATAAAATAATATTTTATATATAAATAAACAACCCTGCCAACCAAGGTTGTCAGATATTTATAGGCGTTGTGAGCTTGATCTTTGCCTCCCACTAAAGCTGGCACAGAAAGTAAGGCTTGACGTATGTGTGTGCTGATATAAGGAGATAAGGAGTTGGTATGTAGTGCATGCGGACAAACTGAAGAATACTTCGAATATTGATTTATTAGGTATGTGAAACATTGGCATTACGTAGGCTAAATCACGTAGTTATTATTCACATTATTAGCCCATTTCATGTCGCTTTCTGATTTCGGTATACAAATTGTTTGGACTAAAACATTTCATGTAAAAACATTTCGACCTTTTACCCCTTGAGCCTATCCGTGTAAAAATATTTGGTCCCTTTATCCCTTAAGCTTTTTTTTCTAGTGGATGAGAAATACATTATGGACACTAAGTAGTGGTGTCCACTAAAACTACCATTCCTCTACGAGCATCCCCATATTGTCTTCTTGACATGCGTTGTAATGCCAGCAGGGTTTTTTTACTCTGGTGCCTGCACTTCATTTTCCTCTTTCTCTCTCGTTCTCGTTCCTTTCTCTCCATGACTCTCGCGCCATGTTTAGAGCTGCCCAGGATTCGGGATTCCTAATCATAGTAATAATGATGATATTCGATGTCATAGTATGCTTTAACGTCAGTTTTGCTCTGTGCCTGTGAGCTATCAATCTCAGGCACCTGAGAAGGTATGCTCTACCTTGTTCACTTTTCCACAGTATATATGCAGAGATCATCAGCAGTCGTACCAGTTCTGAATGTTGTAACATGCTAGGTATGTTGCATTTTTTCCAAAACTGTGTTATGGGTTAAAAGATTTTATATTTGGCATATAGGAATAAAAACAAAATTACTTCTCTTCTTAAAAATAATTTATTATAAATCATAAATTGACATATTTTTAAAACCGAGTTGTAAATATGAGTAGTTAATGGTCAAATTTTAGTCTTCTTTTTCTTCCTGGTTCTCATCAAGAACCACAGAACTTATTAATTAGATATCTAATTATTTTAAATTATCATATGGCCAACCTTATATATCAAATTACACTAGAATTAGCTGATAAACTCGGTATTAAGAAAAAAAAAACTGACAGGTTTTTTTTTCAAGCTTTCTTTTGAAAAGCACGTTTTCAGAGGAAGCTTGCTCTCGCATTTTTGCGGATTTTTCACAAAGAAAAAGTTTATTTGGAAGATTATTTTGTTTAGGAAACATAAACAAGACTCTACTTTTGAGGATAGAAAAATCCATATAACTTTTTCGATTTGATTACCGCTTCTTTGGAAGCCACATTTGGCCCCATACCACCTCAGGTAGGTTTAAAATATAGTTTGGATATAAAATTAGTTAAAATAATAATTCTTACATCATTTTACATAAAATAAATCATTATTTTAGGCCTTTTATTGTTAGTTTTTTTAACTAGCTCATTTACAACTTAAATAGGTATAGTATAACCGTGGCAAGGTATACCTACCTCTGGCTACCTAGTAAACCTACTCATGTCAAGAGTCATAGTATAATAATTGGAAGTAAATTGTCTCTTGCTGTAGTATGGATGTTTAACTGCAGAACCATCCTTGAATCCACTCTGTACTGTCAAATGGTGATGGAAATTGTGTACATATTGAATGGAAAAATACGGAGGATCCCTGGAAGTTACAGATAAGCCTTAGACATAAGTTTGAAAATTAAAACTCAAAGATATAATTTATTTAAAATAATCAATTGCCTTTTACACTTAATTTCATTAGTTTTTCCGGTAATTTACACTCACTTTGTAAAGCAAATCTTCTAGAAGTGCCGCTAAAAGCTCTGTATCTAAAGGGCTATTTTGTTTGTTTTAACCTAAAAAAAAAAAGAATCACATTAGTAAAAATAATTATATGATATAGCAACAAAAGACTAACCTCAACCCCAAATCTTTGACATATAACTCATTTGTGTTAAATATAGAAAAGAAAAGTAATCATTGTTTATTATTGTACTACTCGAACCCAGAATCGTGAATTTTCTTTAAATATACGAAAGAAATATATAACAAATTGGCGCCCAACGTGGGGCCCGGTTGAGCCCCCAAAGCTATTTTAAAAATTCCAACTCCTGGAACGGTGAAAGAGGTCAGGCGAATTGTTGGCATGGCATCCTGGTATCGGCGCTTTATACCAAATTTTTCAGAACTAATGGCTCCATTAACTCGTCTCACACAAAAGAATAAAACTTTTGTATGGGATTTAGCTTGTGAAGAAGCGTTGAATAAGGTAAAACAAGTTTTGGTTAAGGCTCCAATTCTCGCATGTCCAGATTTCTCTCTTCCTTTTATTGTGGAAACTGATGCGAGTGACTTCGGTCTCGGGGCAACCCTTTCTCAGAACTTTCCAGGTGGAGATAGAGTAATTTGTTATTTAAGTAGATCTCTCACGAAGACAGAACGCAAATACTCAACTACGGAGAAGGAGTGTCTTGCCGTCATTTTTGCTATCGAAAAACTACGACCGTATTTAGAAGGCTCTAAGTTTGTCGTTATTTCAGACCATTATAGCCTAAAATGGCTATTTAATATTAAAGACCCTGTGGGCCGCATAGCAAGATGGGCGTTACGTCTACAAGCTTATGACTTTGAGGTGGTTCATAGGAAAGGAAAAGACCATTTAGTGCCGGACGCATTATCCCGGGCTGTGCCTTGTATAGATGTTGTGGACACCCCCCCGGTAACTCCTTCCTCGTCTTTGGACAAATGGTATTCCGAAATGTTTCATAAAGTTCAGGCTGATCCAGTTAAATATCCTCTGTGGATGGTTCAAAACGGTGAGCTTTTTAGAAATTGTCACTCAAATTATCCAGATTTATCGTATTCCGAATGGGTGTTAGTTGTTCCTAAAAATAAGAGAGCGGAGATCATACGCAATTACCACGATCCTCCTACTGCTGGTCACTTGGGTGTGGCTAAGACTGTGGCTAGAATTGTCCAAAAGTACTACTGGCCCAAACTAAAAACTGATGTTGGTAGGTACATTCGAAGATGTATCACTTGTCAGAAAATCAAACCTGAACAGAAACCCCCAGTTGGACAGATGCTTTCCTCGCAAGTCACAGCTTCCAGGCCATGGCAATTAGTCAGCGCATATCTGGTAGGCCCGTTACCTAGAACCACGACTGGGTTTAATTTCATTCTAACGGTAATGGATTGTTTTAGTAAATTTTTGTTAGCTTTTCCTATACGCTCAGCCACGGCGGCAAACGTTGTCAAGATCTTAGAAGATCAGGTCATACTAATGTATGGAGCACCAAGGACTATTATTGTGGATAATGGAGTTCAGTTTGTAAGTCATTTGTTCCGACAAACTATGGACAAATATAAAGTTCAGATTAAGTTCATTGCTCTCTATCATCCACAAGCTAATCCAGTGGAGAGAAGTCACCGAGTGATAAAAACTATGTTGAGTGCCTATGTTTCCGAAGACCAGCGAAATTGGGATACACTCCTACCAAAAATTTTGTGTGCAATTAGATCCGCTAAACACGAAGTTACAGGTGTAACACCTAATCTAATTAATTTCGGGAGAGAAATAATTCTCAACAACTTAGAGGTTGACGGTCTACCATTGAATCAGTTTGATCTAACTGAACAAAGTGCAGCGCTTGTTAAACTTTTTCAAGATGTTAAAAAACGTCTACAGTCAGCCTATAACAAGGCAAGAATCCCGTATAACTTGAGGCGCAGAAGTGACAAATTTACGGAAGGGCAAAAGGTTTGGAGACGCAATCATATTCAGTCGGATAAAGCTAAACACTTTAGTGCTAAGTTGGCTCAGAAATTTGTCGGTCCTTATAAAATATCCAAAATAGTTTCCCCTTGGTCGTATCAATTGGTAGATGAAAATAATAGACCTGCTGACACTTGGAACGCAAAAGACATTAAGGTTCATCCCCCCGATGAAGATACTGTTAATGTAATTTGACCCTTTCCAACGACTTCTAGCCTTAAAGATATACTTCATAGATAAGTACTTATGCTGATGGTAATGGAGATAAATGTACATACATGTATATATATATATATATTTTTTTTCTTTTCTGTATTCTAGTCTAGGACTAAAAAGTTCTTAGAAACTTTTTTGCACGAATGGGTGGTGTTGTTATGGGTTAAAAGATTTTATATTTGGCATATAGGAATAAAAACAAAATTACTTCTCTTCTTAAAAATAATTTATTATAAATCATAAATTGACATATTTTTAAAACCGAGTTGTAAATATGAGTAGTTAATGGTCAAATTTTAGTCTTCTTTTTCTTCCTGGTTCTCATCAAGAACCACAGAACTTATTAATTAGATATCTAATTATTTTAAATTATCATATGGCCAACCTTATATATCAAATTACACTAGAATTAGCTGATAAACTCGGTATTAAGAAAAAAAAAACTGACAGGTTTTTTTTTCAAGCTTTCTTTTGAAAAGCACGTTTTCAGAGGAAGCTTGCTCTCGCATTTTTGCGGATTTTTCACAAAGAAAAAGTTTATTTGGAAGATTATTTTGTTTAGGAAACATAAACAAGACTCTACTTTTGAGGATAGAAAAATCCATATAACTTTTTCGATTTGATTACCGCTTCTTTGGAAGCCACATTTGGCCCCATACCACCTCAGGTAGGTTTAAAATATAGTTTGGATATAAAATTAGTTAAAATAATAATTCTTACATCATTTTACATAAAATAAATCATTATTTTAGGCCTTTTATTGTTAGTTTTTTTAACTAGCTCATTTACAACTTAAATAGGTATAGTATAACCGTGGCAAGGTATACCTACCTCTGGCTACCTAGTAAACCTACTCATGTCAAGAGTCATAGTATAATAATTGGAAG